GTCAGAAAACTGAAGGAGTTCAGTTTTTGTTTAAGAAATGATGTGTGGGTCACTTGGTTGGAGTCTGTAGTGTTACAGGGGAGGTAAAGATGTAACCATTTTCAAACACCAGACAGATTCTTGTGGAAACTAGAGTGCAAATTGTAAAGGTAAGTACCCTTAGAATAATATATCAATGATTGTGGTGACTGGAAATATTTAAAAGACAATTTTTTTTTTTTAAATAAGTGGCTAATTCCTTAAGGAAAAGTTTGTGTTTTGTATTAGTTAGGAGGACAGATTATTTATCAGTGTAATCCCTTGTGATTTTATAATCTGTGGAAAAAAATTATATATGGTATTTTGAAGTTGCATTCCACCCTTTTTTCTGTAGAATAATAGAATTGTTCAGATAAGCCTTGGGAAGTCAGCTAGTGCAGCTTCCTCCTGCTTGGAGCAGGGCCGGCACTGAGTTCAAACCATCTCACTTAGGGATTTGTCCGGTTAGCCTTGCAAACTGCTGAGGACAGAGGTCCAGCAGCCCCTCTGAGTCCCTGTTCCAATGCTCACCTGTCTTGATGGAGAAAATGCTGTTTCCTTGAGTCAGGTCAAAATCTCTCCGACCATGCTCCTGGTCCTCCCTGCCAGCTGATCAATGCCTGTTTTGTATTGGGGATCGCAACCAGGCACAGGACTCTGTGATGCAGTGAGTGCCAAGTAAATGGGATTAATCATTTCTCTTGACCTCCTACTTACACTTCTCGTAATGCGGCCCAGTACACTGCTAGTTTTCCTTGTTATTTTTATCCTGTAGGTTTTTGGGTTTTTTAGCAGTTATTTTAGACTCTTTCCTCTGAGCAGTGCAATAAAAAAAATATGTGGTTCTCTGTTGAGGTTTATATGCCATAGTTTAAGAGCTATTAGAATTTGGTCTGAACATTACCAAGTTGTCCGAAAAGCAACTTTTATCAAGTGAAACTTTTCTTTGAGGAAGGCATAAATGAACAAGAGAATTATCTTCTGGAAGCCTGTGGTCTGTTGTAATTTAAACATTAGAAGTGGAATCTACAAGATTGGAATAATTCAGCCATAGATAATGTGACCTGTGCTGAATACCTAAACTCTGAGACATTGTCTGCTCAGTTCTCTAACAGGCATGAAAGAAAGTTCTTGTTAAAGTGTGAATTGGGAAGAAAAAGGAGGAGAAACAAAGTGAAAAGTATATTAAACACTACTGCTCTTTGATACTTGAATTAAAGGGCAATTAAAACATAATTGCTTTCATGCAATCCTCCTTTCCAGGTAAAGGAGACCAGTCTTGTTAAGACTTTTTCAGAAAAAATGTTCTTTAACACAAGAAACTGTCAGGATGGACCTTGGTCTGCTGCTCGTGAATTTTGGGTTACCCCTAGCTCATGTTTTTCCTTCTTGAGTTAAAGACCACAGATGTCATTAGAAAAGAACTGGGTATGGGAGATACTGTCAGTTGAAGAGGTGACTGGGAGACAGTTGGAAGCCACGATGAAGATCCTTATGGAAGAGGCCTCTAGAGGAAAATGGCATAAGACAGAAACCATGGAGGAGGAATGTGCAGTAAGGATTTGTGTGTGTCTGCTTGGGCTTTCCTGTAGTGACCTTGCCTGACCATCAGTGCTGTAGCCACGTGCTGATGTTGGTGTTCCCAAGATTAGCGTTCAACACTGGTTCATGGACTTTTAGGGTGAAATGTAAGCTGTTTATTAGTATCTAAACCTTTCCAAAGCATGTGGTTAGACATGGCTGACGAATTGTTTTTATTGTTTAACTATTTCCTGCTCTTCTAATGCCATTTCCCAATTATATTTTCCTCTTTGTTTACCAGCTGCAGTTTTAATACAGTCCTTGGGTTGTACTACTGACCCTTTTGCTTGGCCTACCTCCATCTTTCTGTCCTGTTTTCTGTCAGCTGTCATTGCCACAGAATAGCGCAACATTTTCTGAACTTCCACCTGCTTTTTAACAGTGGAGTTCAGGGTTGGGTTAGGCTTGTTGGATCACATTTGCACAGGACCAGGAAGACTGCCCCCCCTTCTACCCTGCCTTTTTTTTTTCCCTTCCCCTGGAAAAATGGGGCTATTTATTTTTTAAACAGTCACAGAATTAATTTGGAGCAAGACAACTTTCTGCTTGGAGTCAGGCAGGGCCTCAGAGACGGGCTTGTTGGAGGCACTTTGAGATGACGTCGTCTAGCAACTTTGCTGTATTTTTGGTTCCGGAAGTTACTTCCTTTCGCAAATTTATTGTCTGCACATTTTTCTTTCTCCCAACCACCTACTTCTCACACTGGTCTTGCTGCAGCTGCACTGCAGCTTCTGATTTCTTTCCTTCCTCTCCTTTAGCCCCTTTTCCTTTCTTTGTCTTTGTAGTTGGTGTTTTACACTTAGGCCAAAGGGATTACAATAGAAACTAAAACTCATTTAGAACAAATTCTTAGCTTTAGTGTTTAAAAATAAGAAAATTAAATAAATATTCATGGGAGGCTAAAAGACCTTGCCTGCATGTCAGCCCTGCTTGCATGACAATAAAGACTGCATGAGAGAATCCACTAAGTAAATTATGTACACGTACAATGATCATCCTGTTTTGTGCACATTATATATAATACAGTTGTGAATACGCATATATTCTCTGAAATGTACTCTCTGAAATATGCAGTGTACCCTAAAAGCTGCATCTATCACTCAGTAGCTGGTGAAGGCTTCTCTCAGTTATGTTACTGCAGGATATTATTGAAGTTCTGATGTTTTCCAGAATATTCAAAGTGTATTGAGTTACCAGGTTAACTCTCATGGGTAATTTATTTCTGTGTTTCCAAACAGCTGAGTGTTTGGATATTTATCATAAATTTTTAACACTATTACAGGGATAAAAAAAAGAATCCAAGAAACATGAAATACCCAATATTTTTCCTGAGAACAAATTAAAATAAAATTTACAGTATACACAACTGTATTGACTGCCAGTTTGGTAATCAAGAGGGTAGGGCCACCAATATTATCACTCGAGCTAATCAGCTTAAAGATGGTGACTGTTTGCAGACCAATGTGAGAGTTGAATTTATCTATTATGTGAGGTGAATTTTCACCCCTTCCTGGTGAGAAACGTGGTACAGTATTTTGATGCTTTATTGCAATTGTAGGGCTTGCTTTGCTTAAATGTTCACAGACCCTATTCCCTCTCTGTTGTCTTCTTGTTTCTTCTGTGCCTTATCCTCACCAACTCTTTAGATTCAGGCTTTTTTTTCTCTAGGTTTCTATGCTAGAGTGTTGTTTCTAGTATCTGATACAAAGTGATGGTAGGTGGAGAAGGCAAGCAGATTTGTAATTCTGCTTTAAAAAAAACCCCAAAACAAACCGATTTTGCTGGTTAAAGTTTTGAATCTAAGCCAAATTTGAACCTTCCCTGTGAGTAGAGAGCAACTTGTGGAAGTCACGATGCTGCATCATTGCTTCCCCCAAGTTCAGCACGATGTGGAAGCACTAAAGCTTTTGAGTGGAATATGTCCCCATAGCTTAGATATCTGCTCTGAAAAAGCTTGATCTAGATGTGTAACTTGGCAAAGTTATGGACTTGTAAACACGGGGATTAGAAAATACTGAATAAATTTCTTTCCGGATGGATCAAGCTTGGCAACTGTGTGATTGGAATTTCTCTGTTTCCTGCTATCTGTGCTTTTGTTTTGTTCCCTTCTTCAACTGAATTGATAGGATGATGTGATCTGTTAACATACTTAAGCACTCTTATGAATGCTTGAAAATTTAAATGTCATGACAAAATGGAACATACAAGCCCGGGTTAGACCTTCTGTTATGTATTATTTTCTGTAGTAGCAATAAAAAAAAAAATCTTGAATGGCATGAAGACAAATGGGTTCAGGTTATAAACTCAATTTCATATTGAGAAACTTTAACAGTTGAATGTGTAGTGCCTTCACACAAATTTTCAAGTTATATGCGTAAGGCCAGTGGGGGCAATATGAAAAATCCTGAATACTACAAGGCTGATGGTAAACTCAAAATGTTAAGAACACCAGTCCAGTAGGAAATACTGAAACTGAGCATTCCAACCTTTGACCATAGTCTCTAAGCAGATCTTTGCAGAAGAGAGGAATCATTGAAGGCAAAGCAGATCTGCAGTGGTAATGTTTCCTGCTTTCTCAAAGCTGATGGTGGCTTGCGACCGATGTACAGAAGATAATTTTTAATTCACCTGGATCCTATAGTGACATCTAGTGCAGTCTGTTACTGAAGCAGCTCACATCTGCATAGTTGAGTTCAGTTTTAGTCTTGTGCTGCAATAGATTCAACAAAAGTGTGAGAGCATGAGCCCAAGTTTATACTTTTCCTAAAGTGCAGTGTGAGCTATGGGCTGAGATACAGGGACAGATCCAAAAATAGAAGGGGAAAAAAAAAATAGATAAAGGTTAGAAGAGAAAATGGTTCCAGGACACTCAACGCTGTGATTCTGAATTGGCTTGAGCCAAGATTTCTGCATCATCAGCCTCAGTAGAAAACTTTTCATAATATTGTAAGCAGAAGGGCTAAGGTGTCCCAAGTTACATAGCAGTGGTCACAAAACATAAGCTAACACAAAAGCATTTTTCTGTAAATTCACAATTTAACGTAGGCTTAGGTCATTGTTTGTATGCCTACATTAACAGCTAGTGTGTAGGCTTTTATTTTATGATACGTGCTGTGTAATTCAAGTTGCCTTGCCCCTCATGACAGCTTCAGGACTCATGTGCTATAGGAAGTTGCTATATATAACTTGGTTCCTGTAATTCCTCACTGCTTTGGATACTGTGCTATCAAGATGCTATTTTTGGTTTTGTACATATTTTTTTATATTATGATTCATCCTCCATCAGTAATCTGTGTTTTTAAACTCTCTTCTTTAGTAAAATATTCTTAATGCTTAAGTGTTTTCCTTCAGTCTGCAAAAAATGTTTGATTCCTTCACTAATTTTATTTTTCTGTTTATAGGAGAGGCCTTCTCACAATTTACATGGCCAACCAAGTAAGTAGTCTTTTATTTCAAGAATAAAACCACCTAAGATCCACTGGAAATGTGAGATTCATCGCCTGTTTTAATCATTCCAGGATTTTTCTTTAAAAATTTTACGTTACTAGATAACTTTAGAGCAAATTGTGACCTGAGGTCTTTCAGAAGTAGTTGTAAACCATTGTATTATGCTCCAAATTTCTTGTATCATAGCCCCAAGAAGATGGGTAATTTTCTATTTCTCCTCTGTAGTAGAATGGCATCTGGTACTTTGATGGTTGTTATTTTGCAGATGAGAAATCCAACACCATATAGTTTAGTTTTGTAATTAATTGTTTTTCAAACTGGTATCAGCTGTTGTGTGTACAAACATTTTTATTGCATGTTTGTATCAATTTAAATGTTGTGTCATATTTCTTATTATCTCATTCAAATAAATAAAATTTCTCTAAATGATGTGTGATGTTAACTTACTCTAAATGTAAAATACTTCTGTTACTTGATTATACTCCTTTAGGAAAGATTTTATTTTGCCAAAGGAATTATGTAAAATTTTTGTGTAGTTGGACTTGCTGAAAGAGTCACAGAAACTACAAAAAAGAAAACAACTAAAAGTTGTGTTCAGACCACTGGGACAGTTTGCTGGGGCCTCAGAGTTGTGCAAGAGTAGAACTGATGGTGATGAAAAGATTGATGACTAAAACTGATAAGACAAAGGCAATATATCATAGTACAGATTAGGGTGACACAATTGATACCTTCTCTTCCGTCTGTGTGAAGTCATTGTTGATGACTTGTAATTCTGAATATTTGTGGTAGGAGGTGACATCATATGTGTGTTAGCAGGTAGATATCCTGTAAAGTCCCTTTTATGCATTTACCAAACCCATCATATAGTTCTCTCTCAAATTCTGGTGTTTAACAATTTCGTCCAGGCAGAAATTTTTTCTTGAGTTATTCTGTATTTGTAGACTGTCTGTCATGACAGACTCATGACGGGAACTTAACAGACTTCAGAAGAGAAGAAATTAATATTTGCTTTTAAATTCATTATTGTTAACTACCATTTTACCTTCTATAGCTGCCTGACTTATATGGTTCATACCCTATCCTTTAGGATTTCTTTTCTTTACAAATTGTTTTAACCTAATTTGGAAAGATGACAAATCCTTCTCTTGAAATTTAATTAATTAGATGTTCAGACTCCCAGTAACACATGGGAACAAGGTTTGATTCCTAAAAGGAAATCTTAACTTTGGAAGTTTTTCTTGAATTCAGAAGACCAACTGTGTGGAAACTCCTCATTCAGGAAACATAGGTTATAAGGACAGTAATATTTAGTTGGACATGCCATCACTCCTTTGGAATGGACTTTTCAAGAGAAGGGGGAAATCAGTGTGCCTAAATAGCAACACCTCTGAGTATCCAGTTCTGAGAAAGCTGTCGCTGTCTTTGTGGCTCTTAGACTGCAATGCCCCAGAGTCCATGTGGTGCTGTATGGTCTTAGAAAGGAAAAGTCAAGCAATGCAGTTACATTTTATGGATGCCATTTGGTGCAGTGGATATTCTCTTTAGCATAATTGTTTATTTTAGGCAAAAATCATTGGTGGACCCGGGGCTGCCAGGGTTTACTTTGTTAAACTGCCTGTGATCACGTCATACTTATCTTGTTAGCAAGCTGTGTAATCACAGAAAATGTTTCCCTGTTTGTGTTGCTTATCTTTTGTTTAGAACTTTATATGCTTTGGTGAGATTCACTTATGAGTTTACTAAGCCTTTAAAACATTTATTGCAGCATGCCCCATTCTGAAAGCTGGCACATTTTAATCTTCAGTGATTACAGCTAGATTGTGGAATTAGACAGCATTTCTTGCATTCTGTAAAACTCGTGTCAGGACCTGTTAGGATATTCATGGAACTAAATGTATTCTTTTGTTTTGTTTCATATTTTCCTAAACTTTGTTTTGCAGCCTTGGCAATAATAATTAAGGCTTTCTTTGTGTGCCTTTGCCCAGTTAGACAGGCAGGAGGTAACTGTAATTAGTGTTGGTTAGTATAAGAAATTATCATGAATGTTGCTGCAGTGAATTTTTATAGCCAGATTAGGGCTTCTAAATCAGAAAATTTTATTTCTATTGTCCTGTTGGCAGTACGTGACAATTTGTCCTCAGAGATAAATTTACTTAATGGAAAGGGGAAAGGTTTGTTAAAGTCTTTATGTGTGGCTGCTGTTTCTCATTTCAGCGAGTGAAATGCAGTAGAACATGAAAGGCAGTGGGTCTAAGGACTCATGTTCTAAAGGTGACATTTTTATTGTTTTTTACTCTGGAGCTACTAGAAACTTGTGAATGGAAACATGTGAATAAATGTCCTGGCTCATTTTAAATAAGTCAGTGATTATAGATTTATGTGAACCTGAACTCCTGAATTGCATTTCCTTGCTGCTTACACAGTAAAATGACAGATGAAAAATTAACTGTTGAGGCTATATGTGCTGTATGGAAAAATAGAATAAAAATGCTTTTTTGGACTAGCTTGCTGCAGAATTGAAGCTATACAAGAATGCACTTTAGGGCTTGGATTTTTTTTCTTTTTTTTTTTCTTTTTATTTTCTTTAAAGATAAGAATGAGAAATAAGTATAGGAGTGAAGCATCTGTAGTTTTAATTTTGATATGCAGAGTGTAAAATCAACTTCTGAGCTTTTGACTGGAAGTCATTTAAGTTTTTAGAAGTAAATTAGTATGCCTGAGCCCTAGCATTGTTGAACATGCGCTGTTGAGACCCGAAGTTTCTGTAATAGCCCGGAACAGAGTAGTGTTAGTCAGTGCTGTGGACCACAGAGAAGCATGGAGCTTTCAAGTTCTATTTTGGATTGCACGTGTTTAAGTCAAGAAATTTCTAGGATCATAAGAGATGCATTGATAGTGAACATATAAGATGATCCTTCATGGATAATTTGAATTCAAAAGGAACCCCAAGATTGCAGCAAAAGGTGGAAAGTGAAATGGAATCTCTTTCAGTTATTTTTATCTGGAAGAGTCGATGATATTTATGACTGTCCCATGAGGAAGACCTATAGCTCTTATGTTTCAAAACAGTTAAGGCATACTTTGTTGTGAACAGCTCAACAGTTGAATTCTTGCTTTTACATTGAAGAAACTGTGTCTTTGGATTTGGGTTTGGTTTTTTTTTGTGTTGAAAACAAAACAAAGGCGGTACCTTCAATATGCAAGATAAGAAGAGACATTATAATCTGAACTAGGACTGATTTGATATAAAGCTTTTTGAAAAACAAGAGTTTAGGAAAATTGTTATGTTGTCATTGAAATACTACACCATAGGGGCAGTTCCCTAGCATGTGCTGATCTACATGCTGTTTGAAATCCAAACTGCATCACTACATCAAAGGCTTTATTCATTCTGTACTATGACTTCTAATGTATGGTGGGCTACTTGAAAAATTGGAAATGTTAATATTAATAAGGTGCTTTTGAGGGCCACAGATTGTATGATAAAAAACTTAATCATAAGGTGAAGCAGCTGGATGAAAAAGGCAGAGTGGTGCTGTTGAGGACTGGTTCTTGAGTGTGATGGGAGGAAGAAGTGTAGGGATCTATCCTAACCACAGAGAGAGCATTACTGAATGGACAGCTATAAGTTTGAAAAATAAGACAAGGAAGTAGAGAAGCACAAGCTATAGGTAAGAAATGAGAATTTGTTGTGGCAAGAGACATGAAGGGACTGGAGCTGTGCTGACATAACAGGTACTGGTTTGTGGGGAGTAAAACAAGTGGAATAACATGAGAAAATGTCTAGTTCTAGTTAAAGCAGAAAGCAGATGATAAGGAAAATCATGGGTTTTTCAGGAAAGGGTTGGATTAATTTAATGAATTAATTAATGTGAAGAGAAATATAGGAAGACCCCGGAAAGAGAGACAGAAAGAGAAGGTATTTTTGAGGACATGGATATGGAAGTTGGAGAAATTGTTGTCAGCAATTGCGTCTGGACAAAGTTTACACAGAAATAGGAAGATGCTGTGCCTTACTTATTGCTATGCTGATGTTAGGTCATCAGTGCATCTGCCAGTTATGGAATACTGCACACAGATCCTCATATATAGGGGAAATGATACTGTTTAAATGAATACTGAACAAGTTAATCAGTGGCATTCCAGTGGGTAATGCTCTGCTTCTGTATGTGATAGAGAACAAGTAACGCAGCTGAGCATAGTTTCTTGCAGTTTTAAAGTAGTCCAGGCAGTTTCACAATTGAATTGTTTTTCAGTTGCATAAATAGACTAAATCTGGGTTCGTTTTGGCTGTATCGTTGTTTATGCCAACTAGTCAGTGTGAAGACTGCATGTAAGTTGTGCTCTTAAAGTTTGAAATATTTGGTCTAGGAGCATGCAAAAATGCTGAAACACAGACTTAAAAAGAAATCCTTCAGGATCTAATGGAGAGATGAGTATCCAGTGCTCTTCAGTCAGCTTTAACTCCAGATATTTGTGTGGTTTTTTACAGGATGGAAGTCATAGTGATTCAAAATATTACTAAATCTTCATGCTCTGCAATATTAAAAACAAAAAAATCAAAGCTATTAGCCTAATTTCAGATATCTGGCACACACAGCAAAGTAGATACCAAACTTGACAGAAATATGGCACATTATAGAACATGGTTCAAATGTCTGAGGCCAAGGGCCCTCCGATATCACTTTTCATATACACTAGATTTGTTGTCATTGTTTCATGCTTTGTGGAAGTGATACGTGGAGAGATGAAAGAAAGAGGAGTGGGACTTGCTGTGACAAAAGAAAAAGCAACAACATAAAGCCACTTTTAAGCTGTGCTTTTGCTGATCCTGTAGTTTTAAGATTTTGCGAAAGTGTTTTCATTTTAAACTTACTAAACTGAAATTTTATGAACAAGAGTAGCTGGCTCTTGTTCTTCTCCATTAGGAACATTTCCGTTTTAGTCAAAAGATGGAGGCAATCCAGAATGAAGAAGAACAGGTG